TCCTCTAGCCCTGGCACATGATGCTGGATGTGTTTCTTTTCTTTTCTGGCATCTTAGAGAGTGGCTTAGCATGTTTTAGATATGTGCGCCAAAAAACACATTCCACCCCCAATTGCAGATGGACAAATTGGACTGCACAGCAGCCTGTGTTTAGCTTGTTGCTGTTCAGGAGGATGGATCAGCAGAGGACTGGCCAAACAGTTGGGTGCCAGGAGGCTTTAGACCCAGTTGTCCCATCTGGCTACAGCTGGAGCAGAACATAAAATGACGCTCCTAATCATTGAATTAAGGGTAAAGCTAAAGGTTCCCCTTGACATTTAGTCCAGTCGTGTCTGACTCTAGGGGGCGGTGCTCATCCCCATTTCCAAGCCATAGAGCCAGCGTTTGTCTGAAGACAGTTTCTGTGGTCACGTGGCCAGCACGACTAGGCACAGAACGCCATTACCTTCCCACCGAGGTGGTACCTATTTATCTACCCACATTTACATGCTTTCGAATTGCTAGGTTGGTAGGAGCTGGGACAAGTGACGGGAGCTCACTCTGTCACGTGGATTTGATCTTATGACTGCTGGTCTTCTGACCTTGCAGCACAGAGGCTTCTGCTGTTTAACCTGCAGCGCCAGCACATCCCTTTTTTAAAGGGTACAAAGTACCAAATGTTAGCAAATTTATTTTGGTACATGAGGTGAATGATCCTACCAGCACCTGTCCCCATCTCTGGCAACAGAAATACAATAATAAACACCAGTGTGGTTGTTGTGGGTTTTTCGGGCTTCTTGGCCATGTTCTGAAGGTGGTTTTTCCTAACGTTTCGCCAGTCTCTGTGGCCGGCATCTTCAGAGGACAGCAAAAAACCACCTTCAGAACACGGCCAAGAAGCCCGAAAAACCCACAACAACCATTAGATCCCGGCCGTGAAAGCCTTCACGAAAAGACCAGTGTCCTAATAATTTGCTGCTATTTAGTGATAACCCACTCCTGCTACCTGAAGCAGTTGCCCCACCATGCACACTGGTAAGGTCCTGATCACATGCCATCTTTGATGAGTACATAAACAATCAAAAAGATTATTAGGACAGCTCAGTAGCTAAGGTATCTGACTGCGGAGCCAGAGGTTGGGAGTTTGATTCCCCACAATGCCTCCTTGACAGCGGCTGGGCTCAATAATCCATAAAGTCCCTTCCAGCTCTGCAATTCTAAGATTAAGATTAAGAGAAACAAATAAACCCAAGCTATTATCTTTATTAGGACTGGCTTAAATGTCATCAAATAAAGAGTTTGAGTTGTTCTTTGGCCTGGATATCAAGCACAGGTAAGGGTGAAAACTGTAAAATGTCATCTAGTATTCTGTGCTTTGTATCTCTTAATATTCCATCTCTTTACAAGGGCATTGCTCGTTTACTCCTAAATGATCTGGTCATTTTGCTTTCAGTGCACTTTCTAGGCAGGCAACTCCAAATAATTATTTCTGTGATGAAGGTGGGGACCCAGGTACATTTTCTTCCTCTATCATTTGAGCAAACTACCCCAGCCACAACAGCAGCTAATGCAAACCTACTTAGCACTTTCTCTTCGCATCCTTCCAAACTGCAGCCCTGTTCTCAGCGGAGAAAATTGGTCCGGCTCTACACACCTGTAAATATTTGTTGGGGAACTCCTGATCTAAACTCCCTAACTCCTAGCCAGTACTGTACTCCCCTCGATAAAAGGTGCAGTGCCTTTGCTGCTATTTTTAAAGAAAGAGCAGTACCGTATAAATCTGTCAGAAGTGAGCTTCTGTTTCAGTTTCTGCAGCCTGATGATGCTGACAGAACCCTTAGAGAGGTAAAGCCTACCTCATGTTTGCCCAACCAATGGCCTTCCTGGCACATAAAAGCTGCCAGAAAGGGACTGGTTGAGTGGGTAGGAAGAGTGTTGAATGCCTCCTTACAACCAGGTACATCTCACACAGTGACTGGATTTTTGGACTCATTTCACCTAACATATGCATTGGGAGAAAAGTATAGAAACATAAATCAAGAGACATGCATACAACATTTCAGATATTTTGTACACTTTTCTCCAATTGTAAACATTTCGCCCAGTCCATGCATTTTAATGTCTTTATGTATGTATGTATGTATTTTATTTATTTATATGCCACCTTTCTCCCCACAGGGTATTCAAGGAGTCTCACGACAATTAAAATCATATGATAATAACAAGTAAAACATACCATACAACATTATGTATGAAAAAAAAAAACATTTAAATAATGGTCAGAATTAGACATGGGGTGGAAAAAAAAAAAAACCGGTCGCGATATTCGGCTAAAATCGCTGATTCGTTAAATATTTGTTCCTTCATATTTGTGGGTTCCAGAGACCCCCAGAATATGAAGGGATGAATATTTCCCTATTTTTATTCATCCCGCATTTGAAAGGGGAAAAAAAGCCATCCTATGGCTTTTCCATTCTGCCTACTGTCCCACTGATCAGCAGCCGATAGGCAACCACTCACCCCACAGCCTACCCCCACCCTTTCCTCTCCCTACCTTACCCCCCCACCCCCACTGACACCCCCTTACCATAATTGCTGCCGCCAGGGTCTCCATCCGGCCTCCACAGCCACGGCGTGTAAAAAGGGAGAGTGGCTGCCCTTTGCAAAGATGGCGACCATCTTTGCAAAGGGCAGCCTGGATTCCCTTAAGGCAGGCTAAGGGAATCCACACTGCTCTTTGAAAAGATGGTGGTGAGTCCAAAATGGTGAGCTGTCACAATTAAAAATATTTTAAAATATGTAAATTTCCAAAAAATAGAACACTCCCTAGACACTTACCACATAAAAGCCTACCTGAAAAGGAAGGTATTTACCTGATGATGGAAGGACAAGAGGGAAGGGGGCCAATCTGACTTCTTGAGGCAATACATTCCAAAGCCTGGGAGAAGCCACTAAGGAGGAGAACTGAGCTACAAAATCTGAAGAACTGTGAAAAGAAAGAGCCCCCAACATACCATGGGCCAACGCTGTTGTCTGGAATTGGCAGGTTAAGAGATGGACAGTCATCTTCCATGTTCACAGTGGCATCTGAGGAAATCCCAGCAACCTATATATGTCTCCGACTGGCCAACTGGGGCTTGGTCTTAGAAGCATGGACTGGACAAGTACAGATGTCTATCCAATCAGTCTGGGTAGCAGCATCACCCTGCACTGGAGCTTCTTCCTCCCTTTAGTTTATAATGTTTGGCCTAGCAAGTCTGGAATTAGCATTATCATTTACGAAACACACTTTGATGTTTTTCCTTTCCACCCTTGTCAACATTTTGTCTGAATGGCAATCAGCAGTTGTAGACATTTGAATGGATCTGGTTTGGAGCTAAAAGCACCTGTGTGCCTGTATCACATCACGGAGAATCCCAAAGGGACCTTGGAGTAAGGGCTTTCAGAAGGCTTGCCAGCCTCACATCTGCTCCAATCTCACATCTCAGATAATGGAGGGTCCACATAGTGGCTGAGAACCCATGTGGCACCTATCTCCATTGATCCCATCATCTTCCAAGCAAGTGGGCTGGGAGGGCTGGATGACTGGGATCTCTGGGTGGAAGTTGGTTTGCCTTCTGCATCAATCCATTGCTCTATTCTGTACTAGCCCTCTGCTAATGTAACCAATACTTATGGTGTCCATATTTGCTCTATGAGAGTTGGTGTGGTATATTTCCTTCTTGATCTATAAATCCATGCCACCAAACATAAAACTGGGGCCACAACTGATGAAAGACTGTGTCCAAGCTGTGTATGAGTTCCGGAGTGCTAATTAGTATGCTCTGTGGTGAAAAATGAAGCCTAATGTGTTTGAATATGTCTGTCTATCTGTGCCTTTGCATACATTTGCTTAGCTCTGCTCTTTATCAATTTTCAGCGACATCCTTCCAGTTTAGTTACATTCCTACAATGTAGGAAGTGGGGGAAAATATGGGGAAGTCAAAAGCACCATTTTGCTAGCTGCTTCTCCTGACAGATTGCTCCTGATATGTTTTGCAGTTCATTAGTACTGGCCCAGGCTTCCTAGCCCCTATGTTCAGCATCATTCCATTGAGTGCTATGATTTGATTAGCTACGTGCAAGCAAATGAATCTTAGTGAAAGAATAACTGCAGAAACACCAACTGCAGAAAGAATTCAACGGTTAAGTCCTAGACCAGAAGGGGTAATTTGTGGCTCTCCAGATGTTGCTGGACAGAATGTCATACCATCTCTCATTTCTGGAAGGCTGCATGAGAGATGTACTCTAACAACACAGAGGTGTGAATCTTGCAGCTTTTCTCTCTGGGGATGGGGCACACTCTTTTCTTTTCACAATACAGATTTCTCTACATGAGATTCCCCCTCCCCCAGAGAAATCTCGGAGATTTCAGAAGCTTCAGTCATTTTCCCCTAGAAGAAATACCAAGCTGCACAGGACGGTTACATTTCTAGGCAGAATGGCATTTTTTTCTGCACATGATTCACCCTGGAAAGAGCAGAGGAAAGATAAAACTGTGAAGGGTGCTACAATCCTTGCACAAATTGTCACCTTTATTGAGTAGACTTCACTGGAAAAAAACATTAAGCTGCACAGAACTGGTTGTTTCCTGTGCAGAAAAAAATGAAAGGGAGGGGGGAGAAAGAACAAACAGAACCCAGGGTCTTACGTTTGCAAGAAGCTTGGTAATCTTGTTGATACAAAGGAGTTTTGGCATGTTAGGACTTTGAAAACTGTGAAGAATATGAGATTTTGCAAATACCCATATTCTCACATCCCTAATTTGGGGATCCACACAATCCCCACCTTGTTGTAGATAATCATAATGTGGCAAATTCAAACTGTTATTGGAGCAGAATTCATTCTGATGAATATGACTGCCAGCTCTCTAATGCTGCCTACATTTTAACAAAATCCTGTCTGAAAAGAAAATAGATTTTGAACAATATATATGAAGTTTTTTGTATGTAAAAAATAAATCAGATCAAACCTTTACATACTCTGAGGGAACCTGGGAGGATTGTCGTTGACATCGGTGAGTGTTATATTTACAGTGGTTGATCCTGACAGTCCTCCAACTTGCCCAGCCATATCTTTGGCTTGAATGACCACCGAATAATGCTCTCTGGCTTCCCGGTCCATGTTATGCAAGGCTGTTCTGATGACTCCTGTGATTATAAGAAATAAAGTGAAAAATATTTTTTTAAACGGGGAGGAGAGAAAATAAATGTTATTCTTAATTTCTTTAAAGAGGTTCTAAAGGGTAGGCCATCTCACCCTTTCTCTTGTCAATAAATGAGACAGAAGCAATTGACATATCCAGTAAATTAAGCTCAACTGAAATTCTAACTTAAATTCAACCTACTTTTAGTCTTTGCTACAAAGTAACAGGTGTGCTTGGAAGAATCAGATAAGATATTGAAAAAAACCAAGTGAAACAATGCCACACTTTTTTTAAAATGCAAAAGTGACATTTGATTTGTGATCAACAGTCTGAAAAATATGGAGAAACTGAAATAATTTCCATTACAAGGAAGTGTATTAATAAATAATTAAACCTGTCAAGATTATGGCCTCCACAAACCACTCAGCAACACTGCCAAAACTTTCTTGGTGTGTGTGAATTATAGGATGGCCAGATGTGCTGGTGGTTGGGGTAAACCTTCCTGCCCCATATCCCTCCCAACACTTTGAGTTACTTTGACTACTCATTGCTCCAGGGAGTTACCAAAAATTCATAAGGTTAAGCATTGTAGCCTATATATCAACCCTGCCAGCTAGGAATACAAAAATTCCCACAAAATGTAAAGTATCCAGTAGGTGATGGAGGTAAGGCCCTTCTTTAGCATCAACAACCCTCTCCTCCCAAAATAATCAAACTGCAGTAAAAGGATATTATTTTATTGAAGATTTTGCAAAAAGAAGTCAAAAAGAATAAAGCTTCCATCAGTTTTAAAAGATAGTTCTGAAGGTAGTCAGAAATGTTGTGGAGCAAATAAGCATTTGAGGCAATCTTGACGCAAGGACAATTCCAGAACAGTTCCCACAAGAAAGTAACTATCCTAAGCTAATATTTACATTCAAGCAGAACTTCAGCATGGTTCCAGAGCATATGCAAAGAACAAATCAAGTAGCAAGACAGCATGTGAATATGTTGTTCTCCTGAGATAGACTAGGCTAAGCTAAGCAAAATCTCTTTCTATTTTTATATCCCTCATTCTGCTTTCTAGACCTTTTGAGGGGATTCACCAATCAGGTATAAAATCACCTTGAACCTTCTTAAAAAAAGAACAGTAACTTCTTCACAGTAATTTCACTCTCTACCCTTCTATTTATCAGAAACCAGTTCTGTTAATTAGCCCATGTCAAGAGTGAGTTATGGCCTTGGAAATTATTTCTCATGGAGATAAGACAGAGATGGCAAAACCTTCCAATTGACAGGCGATTTCTCTCCTGCTGTGTTCATCTCAGGCAGGAGCTAACAGGCTTGTATTTCAAAGGGCAGCTGAAGCCATTATCCCTCTCCCTATTTTCTCAACAAACCTCATCCATGCAAAGGAAACACTGCTCAAGGAGTCTGTTTTATCACATATGATTGCCTAAGTAGTAGTTTAATTAAATTATTAATACATGCAATGTAGTGCCTTTTGCATATGATCTAAAATATGTACATCCGATTTAAGGAATGTCAAAATATTTTGCTTCCCACCACTAATATGCCTGCATTTTCATGAACAATTCTGCTAATGTAAAAGATTAATGTGGTTCAAATACATGATTCTAATTAGCTTCAGTGCAATGTTACTTTCATGAGCGCTACCATTATTAGGACAATAATATTAGGTGAGTAATACCTTGACTACGATACTGCACACTATCCTGCCCAAATCCACCACTGATATTTGCTCTGCCAAACTTTTGACAGTTAATTTTATAAGTTCCTACACTGTTTTTTAGCGCAAGTCCTCAAAAGGTATCTTACAATAAGTACACTAAAAGCAAACATTTTAAACAAAAGGACACCATAATATTGAAAACAAAAAAGAAGATAAATAAAATCAGTAGAATGCTTCTGATTAAAAAAAAAAAACCACTTAAAGGGGTGCTTAGCATTTATTTTTCAGGACATTTTAGTTTCCCAGAGTGAAATTTTATCACAGAATTGCACAAATAGAACTAGAACTGCAAAGTAGGTGTTCCATGATATTGTCACCTGGACAGTTGTAAACAATGTGCACAAACTTCAGTACTTTAACACATATTGTTTTTTCCCTCAGTTTTTTTAAAGCTATGACAAACAAGGATGTCCCCAAAAATCTATTGATCTTTACCACTGAGGTACTTTTTTTGTCCCACACAATGCCACACATTAGGATGAATAAAAGGGTTGTGCAGAGGGCTGCAAATAAAAGCTTGGGAGAAGAAGGTTTCAATCCAGAAGGAAGCTGCTCACCAAATGTCAGATTCGGGCCTTACTCTGAATTTAGCCACCACATCATACCCAACTCAAAATGAGAAAGCCATTGCAGAGCCAGGATATTCCACATATAAAACCTCTCACTATCCCACTTCTGCCATGTTTAATCACCCTTACTACACAGAGCGAACGTTTTGTCTGTTGTGGTGTCAACCATCATTGCAATCTTGAGAACTGACAAATCTGAAGGGTGGTTGAAGGATAAAACAAGAGGTGGAAAGGTGCAGAATGTGAATTTCATACACAGTCTCGACAACCAACCAATTCAATTCTTTCTTTATTTAAAATGTTTAAAATACATGATTTAATTCTCTCTGTGTTAACACCATAGATTTTTTTTTCAGTAACTACACAGGGTTGTCAGAGCAATTACATTTAATGCTGGGAGTCTTAAGTAGCTTTCAGATATCTTTTAGAGTACAATCAAAGCAATTGGTTGTATAAGGGGCCATATTCACTTTTCTCCAGAAAAGTAAATATTCAACACCTTAGACCAAATTCTGTTCACAAAGTAAATCTTAAAGAAACCTCAAAGTATGACAAAGTGACTGTTGGAAACCGTGTAACACATTAATTATAGTTAACAAGTCATAGTCAACGTATTTTTACAAATATGTCCCACAACACATTGACCAAAAACTTATTGTTTGGAGTCATAAATAAAAGTAGAGTAGGCCCACTGAACCAGTGGGAATTTGGTGAGTCAACTACTCTGTATGTTCCATTAATTCAAATGGGCCCACTCTAACTGTGACTTTCTATGCGAATGTACTGTATTTTTCAGTGTATAAGATGCCCCCATGTATAAGACCCCCCTTAATTTTCTAACCCAAAATTAAGAAATCTAAGTGGGGCTTAGCAAGTTTAGGGGGAAGGGATCAAAGAAATGCAGGAGGGAGAGTTTTTGATTTAGAAGAAACACTTGTCCTTTTCGAGTATTAAGGATAGGTTGGTAGCAGCAGTTTGAAGAAAAGTAGTGAGCACTCTGGGAGGCCTGTATTGGTAGAGGCTTCAGAGTGGCCCGCTACACCCTGCTTTCTCCCAAAAGGAGGGGGAAAGGAATCAAAGCAATCCTGCCCCTGCACAATTGTTTTGATCCCTTTTCCCTTTATGCAGCCACAGAATTGCATTGATACTTTCCCGCCTCGTTTTGCTAAACCCCATGGGACCTAGTAAGCAGAGGGGAAAGCAGAGATCAAAGCCATTCTGCAGTGCTTTGATCCCTGCTTTCCTTTTGCAAAGGCTTAGGAAGTGGAGAGGAAAGCAGGGGTCAAAGCCCTGCAGGATCACTTTGATCCCTGCTTTCCCCCCCCACTTGTGTTTGTTCTCTCCTCAGCTTACTTCCATGTATAAGATGACCCTCAATTTTTAGTTTGAAGATTTTAGACAAAAGTATAGTCTTATACACAGAAAAATATGGTAAGTCACAACTTGAGTAGGCTCATTTGTATCATTAGAATCTAACGAACACTAATCTCATCAAATCTGCAATGATTTAATAGGCGTGCTCTAGTGCAATTTATTTATTTTATTGATTTATTTATTTACAATTCTAAGCAACATAATTTTTGTTACAGCTTTATTTACAACCTCGCATGTGGTCTGTAGTATAGGAGAGTGGGAGGGACTTTCATGGGTTGGGGTAATTATCTATCCTCCACTAACCCATTTTTTTTCCAGCTCTCTGAAATTCAAAGTGAGCCCTGCTTTTCTACTGAGTCTTCTCTCTCTTTCGCCAGTTGGTAAGAGGGAGGGTTTTTTTGTTGTTGCTTTTGATTTGTTTGATTGGTTGCTAGTATGTGTATAGTAAAGAAAGTAGTATAAACAAGTCTGTAATTTCAATTAACTGTAAGTAATGAAAGGCTATTTATTCTTTCTCCTACAATGTCTCAGAGACTTTACGTGCTGGTTAATCAGAAAGGTGTGAGCTCTGGGGAAATTGAAGCTATTCTCCTTTAGAGATCTCTGTACTTCTACTGCATAATTTATTCAAAATATTTTTACTTCACCTTTCTCCTCAAAAGGACCCAGAAATTCAAAACTCTGCAACAATTTTGGCCTATATGTTCAAGGATGTCACAGTCCAAACACACACAGAAATCTGAGGAGGTAGAACTTGGTGGAAAGAGGCAAAATATTGTTGCATCTTTATCCCTCCTCTTCCTGCAACAAAACAAATTTTGTTGCCTTCCATACCCCTGCAATCATTGCTATAGTAGAGGGAAGACTCAGCACTCTCCAAGGTAGGATCTGGTCATTAACTCTACTAAACCATTGTTAATCTACTAACAATGATTTGAAATGTTTGACAGTTCAGTACCCTGAATAATCCATAAATTAGTCCTACTCAAGATTCATACAGACAGGCATGAATGGCTTGGCAATTCATGCTGGTTCATTTTTTGATCAAACAGGTGTTTGGCGATTCTGAGCACCGCCTCCTCTGGTGGGCGCCCACTCAGAGGCAGCACCCAGAGGAAGTGGGTCAGGAAAGCCAGACTGCGGCCTCTGAGTGGGCACCCACCAGAGGAGGCAGGGCTTGGAATTGCAAGAAGTGAAATATCTAGGAGTTATTATTAAAAAAAACACCCAAGTAATTTGATGGAAGAAAATTATCCTACAACACAGAAGGAAATTCAGAGAAACTTGGAAGAATGGAATAAGCTACAAACCTCAATGATGGGAAGAATC